GACAGATGTATGCTGATTCCAAGCAATTTGAATAAATGCATTAATTAAAAAAAACATTTATTTAAATAAAATCAAATTGATGCAAATAGTTAATAATAAAATAAAATATGCCATGGTTTTTGAGTGCAGAAATCTTATCTTTTTCATTTATGTATGACTGACAAATATGCATCACATTAAAGGAAGAAACATTTTAGTTCACCCTAAAAAAGAAACAATTATGTCATTAATTACCAGCCCGTTCTCATCCTTTGGCGTCATACATGTGACGCTTTGTACATTTCGTCGAAATCTTACGCACATGGCATCATTTAGCATCAATATGAGACGCAGAACCCAAGGCGTCATACAGGTGACGCTCGTCTAAATCCGCCGCACATGGCATCTTTTAGCGTGAATATGAGACGCAGATCCCAAGGCATCATAACCGTACCCTACCCCAGACCTAAACCTACCCATAACAGTGCGTGTTATATTGACGCTAAAGGATGCCATGTGCGTGAGATTTCGACGAAATGTCATATGGCGTCACCTATATGACACCAAAGGATGAGAATGCGTTGTACTCACCCTCATGTCGTTCCAGACCTGTAAGACTTTCGTTCATCTTCTGAAGACAAATGAAGATCTTTTTGATGAAATCTGAGAGATTTCTGTCCCTCCATTGACAGCTACGCAACTACCACTTTGACAATTCAAAAAGTTCATAAAGAGATCGTAAAAATAATCCATATGAATTGAGTGGTTCAGTCCAAATTTTCTGAAGAGTCTCGATTGCTTTATATGATGAACAGATTTAATTTAGGCTTTTATTTACATGTACATGCCAGAAAGCTCTCAGATTTCATCAAAAAAGATGTTCCGAAGATGAACAAAAGCTTAAGCGTTTGGAACGACATGAGTGTGAGTAATTAATGACAGAATTAAAATTTTTGGGTGAACTAACCCTTTAAGTTTATTATTTTATGTTAAAATGTAATCCAAATGAATAGAAATGTATATGCAATTATACTACATAAATCTTAAATTCTGACCTTTCTATTTTTTGTGTAGTGTGCCTTTTTATACACTGTAATAATATTTTGTCAGTAATCTGAAAATGTTTACAGGGGTTATATAATGCCATTTTTGTACAAGTTAATATGAATGCTTGGGGTCTAAATGAAAACTTTGTAATATACTTTTATTAAAAATTCTCATTAGTATTTTAAGAAAACACTAATTTTACCTGGTCAGAAACAGCTCTGTTTTCAGCACGCCGTTTCAGTGCATATGTCTTTAAATGATCATGAGCTGCGCTCACTCCGCCCCTCCGTTCTGCGGGCGTTTTGACACAACGCACGTGGTGTTACGATCAGGCAGGAATGAAGCAGACAGTGAATCCAATCGCAAGCACTTTAATGATTCAACAAACGTGTAATCCAGGGTAAATACAGAACAAGGTACACGGAACTAGGAACCTCGCAACATCAAACAACAACCGACAACCAACAACTGAAACACAGGGGTTTAAATACACAGACAAACAAGCTAAACAAGATAACAAGGGGGCGTGGTTAATCAGAAACACATGGAGAGACTAATCAACAAAACGGGGAACAGCTGAACATGAAACAAGACACATGGCAGGATAACATGACAAACAGGGAATCACATGACAGACAAGAACAAGGAACAAAACACAAAACCCACACCGTGACATAGCCCCCCCCCCCCCCCCCCCATGGGCGGCTCCCGACGCCCCTTAAAACAAAAATACACAAGTTCGGGAGGGTGGTGATGCGGAGGTGGTCTTGGAGGAGGGAAGGAGGGCCAAGTCTGTGCAGGGGAATGGGACCAGGGCATTGCAAGGGCGCGCAGACGACCAAGGCGGAGCAGGACGCGCAGGCGACCTGGGCGGAGAAGACCCCTCGGGCGGCCACGGCGGTGAAGACCTCTCGGGCGGCCACGGCGGTGAAGACCCCTTTGGGCGGCCACGGCGGTGAAGACCTCTCGGGCGGCCACGGCGGTGAAGACCCCTCGGGCGGCCATGGCGGTGAAGACCCCTCGGGCAGCCACGGCGGCGAAGACCTCTCGGGCGGCCACGGCGGTGAAGACCCCTCGGGCGGCCACGGCAACTCGGGAACAGACACACACACTGGCTCGAGAACAGACACACACACTGGCTCGGGAACAGGCACACACACTGGCTCGGGAACAGACACACTCACTGGCTCTAGTGTGTGCGCAGCCCACACACACCACATGGCTGTGGCCATAATGGCCAGTGTTGCGGTCACTGAGGGTTCAGGCGGCGCACACGTGGCGTGACCAGTCACTGGCTGGGCAGACGTGACGTGAACAGTCTCTGGCTGGGCAGACGTGACGTGAACAGTCTCTGGCTGGGCAGACGTGACGTGGACAGTCTCTGGCTGGGCAGACGTGACGTGAACAGTCTCTGGCTGGGCAGACGTGACGTGAACAGTCTCTGGCTGGGCAGACGTGACGTGAACAGTCTCTG